TCTCCTAAACTGCAAATCCCAGAGCAATAAAACAAACAAAAGCTTGGAACGAAAGTGGTAGTCAAACTGACACAAACAACACAAACAAGCCATTCAGCAAATGAAGAACGCCCTCAGCATTTCAACTCAGTCATGGGAAACAGATTCAATATGATTTTCCTAATAGCACTTCACAAAATGAATGGTGAAGCGATTAACTGATGAAAACGCAGTAAAACAATTCAAAATTCGAAGCCCGAAACCGCACAAGTTGAAAGATCACTCCCAGCTCGTACGGAATTCAATAATTTACACAGTTCCGGCTCCAAGACACGCAAAATAAAAAAATGACACTTTGAATTAACCAAGTCGCAATTACAAGCGACACAAATCAGTGAAGGAATACTTATTTAAATCCCATCGATAATTATTGCGACTGCCGCGGTAAACAGCTTCCGAGATGGATGTGACACCTCCTCATGTGCTTCTATCTACCAGAGACCTTCCTCTGGAATGTATATAATTGTCTGCGTTCCCGCGCACCGAAGCCTAATGTTGTTGTACTCGACCTACTGCGTCCAGCGACCGCCGGGCTTTCCGCCCACATCGCTCGCTGCCTACCACGGCAGGGCAGGGCAGGGTAGGGGGGCTATTATATTCCTCTACCCCTGCGCCCGACCAACCTTGCACCACCCCGGCACCACCGCCGATCACTTACCTTATCAAACATGCCCATCACTATCCTACAATTCCAGGCCCCGATCGTCATCGCTGGCCTCCTCACACCATTCTTGCTTTCTTTCTTCCTTTCTTTGTCCCCGACTCACTCACGCTCACTCACTCCTCCGTCCCCTCTTCTTCACTTCTGCTCCTCCGGGCTCCACAAGATCGTCGTGTATGCGATCATTCCCGTCACCACGTACGGGTCCATGTTCGACGCCGGCCTCCTGTCCTCGAAGTACCCCTTGCCGTCCTTCTCCGTGTCACGCCCCACACGCACTGATGCTCCCCTGTTCGCCACTCCCCACGAGAACGTGTTCATGTCCGCGGTCTCGTGCTTTCCAGTCAACCTCCGCTCGTTGCCCTCGCCGTAAGAGGCAATGTGCTCCCTGTGCCTCAATCCCAACTTCTCGATGGCCTTCTTGATCACCTCGTATCCTCCCTCCTCACGCATCGATTTCGTGCTGTAGCACCCAACACAACCCCCGTCAACCATCACCCCCGTCCAAACGTACAAACAACCATGACCAACCACAGGAAACGAAACCCCACTCCCAACAAATCCCCCTCGCGATTACTCACCTGTAGTTGGTGTGGCATCCCGCGCCGTTCCAGTCTCCTTCGATGGGCTTCGGGTCCAGCGACAGCACCACTCCCGCAATCTCGGTGATCCTCTCCAAAATGTATCGCGCAGCCCACAACTGGTCCGCAGCAGCGATGCCCTTCGAAGGCCCCACCTGGAACTCCCACTGCCCGGGCATCACCTCTCCGTTGATGCCACTGATCTGGATGCCGGCGTACAGGCAAGCCTTGTAATGGGCGTTCACGATGTCACGTCCCCAGGCCTTGTCAGCTCCGGTTCCGCAGTAGTATGGTCCCTGGGGACCCGGGTAACCGCCCACGGGCCATCCCAGGGGCCACTTCACTTCCTTCTGCAACAGGGTGTACTCCTGCTCTAAACCATACCTGCCCCCCCACACACACACACACAAAACGCTCAGCTCTTCGCAGTTGTTAATGCAGAGATACACTTTGTGAGAAAACATCCCAACTGCGGTAACAGTCTGTGAATTCACCAGAGTCACAATCTTAAAAACTTGTGCGAATCCGGGAGTTTGATTGCTTCACTGCACACGACACTACAGATTTCACGCTTGTTTGCAGAGAAACGCACACTTTCCGAGCTTGCTGTAGCAGCGCGGTGAGCGACAAAAATACAACCAATCATGCAATCACAGAATCGTGTGGTCAAGAACGAGATTGTAAAGCACGTTCTAAGTGCACATAAACCGAGAAGCAGCTTTGAACGCTAGGTTCGAAACATGCGCAGTGGAGCTACGCACAGACAGGTGGAAAAGTTTGTGGGATAAGGGCGGAGAGAAAAAGAAAAGAATTCAACTCGCTAAACCTCTCTAACAGAAACACTTCGCAACACTGGTTGTGCGGACAAGAGCAACAATTTCAATGAAAAAGGGGAAGGAGGCTAAACATTGACGGTTCAAAAGACAGAATCACACACGGTAATCGCAAACAAAACTAGTTTCAGGGAGAAGACACAGCCAGAAATGCTCACCATGTCTCCTCCTCCGCCACCTCCTTCGTGGCGAAAATCTCCGCAGCAGCAGCGCGCTTGTTGGTGGGGATGGGCACGCCCTGGGGCGTGTACGCGTCACAGATCACCAGAATGTTGTTCCCCCTGCGGAACGGGTCCCGGAAGATCGCCTGCGGGTACAGAATCACCTCGCTGTCCTCACCCGGCGCCTGCCCAGTGCTCGACCCATCGTAATTCCACTTCGGCAGCAGCTTCGGGTCGCTCACAGGCTTCGGCAGCGTCCTGGCCTTGGATCGCAAGTCGGTTCCCGACCCACCGATCCAAATGTACTCAGCAATAATCTCCTGGGTGGTCTCCTCCAGAGACAAGTTCAACAGCTCGTTGAGAGAAGTCATCTTTGCTAGCAATCGCAACCCAGAGACCCCGCTACAAATTTCAGATACCGAATGCTCTTCCGGCGCACAGCACCGGATGGGAGAGCAGGGAAAGGCGACAAGCGTGTGTGGGAGAGGTGAGGCGAGGCTGAAATGAGAAGTAGAGGAGTGATGAAATTTGCAGTTGCTTGTGGTCTACTTGTGCCTGAAATGGTGGCTCTCTCGCGGCTGAACAGGCAAATCGTGAGTTCCAACTGGAGAAGGAATCCCCCCCGGTTCGTAGATTTTCTGGAAGTGGAATCTTTCCCTGATTTGCCTCCCGATTAGTCAGAAGAGACCACCTCGCCTCGTCGGTCCCGGTCGTGTCATGCGTCGTCATATTTACTTTACTGCTCTTCGCGTTGTCGACACCCGTTTGTTTGAATTTCGCGGCGCATGGTCCATTGCGGTTAATTTTTGAGGTTTCGGGGTTTCATGGTTTGTCCGAAGTTATCAGAGCTTCAGGGATACCATTCCGAGAGCAGATTCCGCGTAATTCTGCATCCCAGAATGTGCCTAATTTGTATTTGAACTTGCCAACTTATCTTTTGCGATGCTTTTGTTCTCTCTGGCTGAGATTTGCGGTTTCGTCGTGGTTCTTCCTTGTCAGACTGGCTAAAATCTGTGCAGAAAAGAAATCGTCACTAAGAAGGTACTTAATGTTGTTCCAAAACATCCTAATTGATTCATTCCATGATCTTCTCTCTGTCTTGTGTGTGCTCCTGTTTCTATTTGTTCTCCCGGAGATTTGTTAACTTTGGAAGAAAATTAAGGATCTCAATCCGTGAAACATTATTTAACTTTTTTTTTATTTTTTTATGTTTCATTATCTGGTCCATTTCAGTGATGGTTTAGGTTTTTTTGTTTTAGTTTTTACACTCCGTTGTGTTTGTTATTGAGGACAACTCTAAATAGATTTACTGAGCGCATTTGTAGCTGACCCTGTCTAAGTTTGATAGGAAGGCTGTCAACTGATCTAGTTTGTACGATCTAATTTTAAATACTTTGAAAGAAGTTCACGTTGACGATTCTTTGTTGAAAACCCATCCTCACGTCACAATTCGCACACCAAATAATGTTGAAAATGAAGACAAGTGCTGCGTTGAAAAAACAACGCAAGTTGGGAAACACTCAAGGCTTTTCTGTTTATTTCGTTGTTGTCTTTTTCTAACTTCTGTGGGTCACAGATTTATTCACAAAGTGTTTCTAGTTCATCAAACGAGAATATACGCGAGAAAGACAGAAGAAAAAGAAACCCCCTCCAATGTTGGGCGGAAATGAGAACAATTACCACATTAATAAAACCATGAGCTCACGAGGGTGGTGACTGAAGATTCAGTTATACGGAGGAGGTGCTTTTGAACCTGGTATTTTTGTCATTACATTAACCTCGCTTTGAATGACATAAGCTTCCCACAAGCTGGGACATGGCTGGACATGAAAACCTAGCCTCATTCAATCGTCGTCACCCCTCGGAATGTCACAAAGGTGGAATGATACTACCTCAGAATTTGAATCGTGTGACAAGTTAGCAAAGGGCGTTGTTGAAAAAACTGGGTCCAGCCACAAGGTTGGGAGCCGTAGAAGACTGAAACTCCATGGACAACGATGAAGATGAAGATGAATATGAAGCAGAAGAAGAAACCCAGAGGCTGGTAATGAACTTTCCACCCTTCAACTTTTCCGGAAATTGTTGGCAGCGGAATTTTCTGGCATCACATCGAGCTTTAGGTTTTACATTCTTAATTTTTTTCTTTTTTCTTTTTTTTCTAATTTTTCCTGTTCTGAGTCATGCACTGGTTTTGCTCCGGCATTTACTGCGGGTTGGGATCCCTGGCCCTGGAGTTCGGCGATATGGATTAGAGGAATACCCACAAGCTGCTTGTTCAACTGATCCACTCTGCACGAGATCAAAATTTTGTTTAAAATACTTAAAACCGAAGGGCGCCTCTACGGTGTAGGGTTCGAAAGCCGTGAGTATGCCTCTAGAAGTCTCTTCGAGCCGCTCTAGCCGCTCATTCAGTTTGTTTCAACTGGGTAAAGTCTGAATTAAAATATTGTATGCATATTCTATGTGTTCTGAGGGGCAGGGATCCACAGTTGAGAGACAGTGAACGGTATTTTGACTCTGATCTCGCAATGCAAGGATCGTGTCCCCACTCAGCAATTAAGAAATACGCAAGTGGAGCGATTGTTTTGACTGGACACAATGAAATGATTCTTCCTTCATTTGAATTCATACTTCTATTGCGAAAAAAATGGGGCTAAGCACACACTTTTTCCCCTCTCAACCCTGATTTTATGACAGTTCTGATGTGAGCGAAGAGAATGCCAAGGAGGGACCACAACTTGAAAAAGTCACGTCCTATACAACTCTACAACCTAGCAGAGTTTGCCGGAAGCAGTCATCTTACCTTTTTACCCACAGAGTACTGAAAAACACGCAGTGATTTCACCGTGATTTTTGTACAAATGAACAGGGTGGAATCTTAGAGCACAAGCTATGAATAGATTTCGCGAAGTCAACCGCCGATCCAAAATCACTTATTTCCAGTAACAAGATGCGGTGAAAACCGTGTAACATTTCTCGCGAGGCAACGCGAATTCCTAGCGCTAAGTCTTGAAGAATAGCGGGTGCAAAATGTTGCTAGATTACAGAAGGGAGTAGTGAAATGAACGGCAACCGTTCAGATTCTGGGGGGTTAAGACTTGAAGTAATACCAGTCGCCATGCAACCGAATTTAGTGATGCTTCATCGAAAGAGGAAGGCATGGGCAGAGAGAGGAGCGGCAGAGGAGGCTGGCAGGGAGGGAGGGCGTGGTCTACCGAGGGAGAACGGACGAGGAGGCCGAGGCGCGGGGATTGGTTGCAACGAGAGCCGCTCGCCTGGGAAAATAGGTCCGAGTCCTGGGGATGCTTTTCTTTGTTTTCTCGTCCTGGATTCTATCTTTTGGTCCACCCCAGCCGCGAATCTCATCGTCCTGCGGTGGGTCCCTGACCGACGCACCCTCAAGCTGGCTAAAAGACCACAAACGATGTGGAGGTTGGTGTCGACGAATCGGGCGGAGTTCCGAGCGAGACGCGGAGGCGGGGAATCGAGTCGCAGCGGCCTCGTTAGCTCCACCCCCACCCCCTAGGAGACGTCCCCAAGCTGCAGCGTCCCCTCGATTGCTGCAAGAATTGCCTTCTTCTCCGCATCAATCCTTGTTCTTGATCCTCTCCCTGTGCTTGTTCTCCCTCGTCTTCCCAGAATCTTCTCGCCACCTGCCATGTGAGCTCAGCACTCTCTCGCCTCGCCCGCTGTCTCGGGCTTCGCACTTTAGTTCGAACTTGCTCCTCTCTCTGATGCTCTGCTTTGTCTCCTCCTGCTCTGTTCTTGATTCTCTTCCGACAGAGTCCCTGCTCATGCCCTGACGTCTTTGTGCAGGAAATCTGTTACTGTGTGTGTGTGTTTGCATTGCTGCTCATGAGCCCGAGCTTACAAGTGGGCCGTGTTCTAAGGACGCTCGCCTAGGTTCAGAAACTGCGAGTATTGTTTTGCGTGAAGCTTAATCTGCCTGGTTTGTTTGCTGTTGTTTTGTTTTGTTTTGTCTTCTCTTATGATAGGAGTGTGATCGTTTTCCTGGGGTTGGTTCTTCTCAAGAAGAGAGGTGTTTGGAGACATAACCCAGTTGGGTTTCTAGGCCCTAAGTTTTGGGACGATACAAGTAGAACACCGTTGTACTGGTGCAACAGCCAGCAAGTGTCCGTGTCATTTAATTCGTGGGGTATTGCGGTTTTCAGTTGTTCTCGAGAGTACAAGAATCCGCGCGTATTGAAGAAGTTGTCGGTTGTGGTTCGATTTGGAGAATGAGGCAAATGCCAATACTCGAACTACAGGGCGATGGATCGGCAAGGTGCCGCTGCTATTAATCTTCTCTTATTTGAAAACATGAAATGGGTCGCTGCATTGACGATTTGATGAGCTCCTAGTTTCGAAAGGTTAAACCGGGGCTCTCACAAGTCATTTTGCGGTTTCGCATTTATCTTTGTTCTCCCTTGTCTGAATTTCGATGATGGTTGGTCAGTCAGCACTCCGAAAATTGGAGACATGAACTTCAATGAGGACGTAACATTGGCACACATTGGCGACTCTGGTTTCGAAACTTCTAAGTCGATGATCTAGTCTTCACTCCATCTTGCAAGGCATCCTTACACCCTGTCAATACCGATCCTCCAACTCCCCCTCTTGTTATCATCAAACCATTGTCCCGCTGGAAATTGCACACCACCCTCAATGACAATTCAGCTTTTCTTCGAGAGGCCTTAAGCTTACCAGCCACTAAATTCTTTCGCCTCGTCCCCACATTATCTTCCTCAATCAAGCAGTTCTTAATCGAAGGCGAAGCTACACAAAACATCACCGAAGTTTTAGAAATGCTAATACTTGTCTCGAAAATCTTCACTCTCTCAATGGTGAACCAAAAGGTAAATTGCACAGAGCAGACGGTCACAAGACATTCCACAGCGTGATCATTGAAAGCAGTCTTTCTTCGGAGATCTAAAGATGAGGAATTCACTACCATTGCTCACATTTTGCCGCTTTCAGCAGCAACTTGTGCTCCGCTTCGCTGAGTTGATTATAATGATGGAAGAAATACCCCATAATTAAACGGTTTTTCACAAAATCATTGGGTAGAGCTTACAGCGACCAAAAGCGTTGTGAGACAACGTAGTGCAGCAGCGCAGACTTGATCGATTCTGGAGAGCTAAGCTGCGCCATTGGACCTTCAATTTGCGGAACATCCACAACGGTGCACGCTACTGAATTAATCCCCTAGGAGTACATCCTCTCTAACTGACGCGGCGTCGTCTTTCCTGCATCAAACCCCTTGACAAGGCAATGAAACCTGCAATGTTCTCCAAACAACTTTGTATTCCAATCTCAAGTTTACAGCAATGCGACCCTGCACTGGAACAACCAACACTGTTGAGGGTGAGACCGAGTTAGATCCCCCAGAAACGCAGAGAATCCTATTATTTTTTTTTTCTGGTGCAGCTGAATGCGGACGATTTCAACAGGAATGAGAACAGGGATAGCGGAGGAGAGTGATTGCCCAACCTAAGGCAAAATGCTCCAAAAGTCTCTCAGACACACACTCTGACTTACATCCGTTTGAGCTTCTGCACAGCTCTACTGTCAGCATTCGCCGCTACCCCAACTGGAGCACAATTCACACCTCATCTCAGAAAGGTCTCTCAAACAACAAGCCTTTAAAAGATTTTCGGACTCAATTCCTGACAGAAAGTGTTCCACGAACAAACTACTGGCAATTTCCAGGTCGTTAAGGAACTATTCTCAACTTCAAGTTCGTTCAAAATAACCCGAAGACAATGAAATTGTGCGTGGGGAGAAGAACATGGTTTGAAGTTGGAATCGTGCGTATCAGCACAGCCAGCTCCCATTTTACCTCATAAGACAATGCCGACGCTATTCTTCCACAGAAACACTACTAAAATTGCTGCCACACTGTCGAGGTGGGTACCGAATCCAGGCCCAAGTACCACAACCGGCCAGGAACTCAATGGCAGCATAAATTCTTCCAGTTGCAGCTCGATTTCTAGCACTGAATTCAGTCACAACTTCGTTTGTGAGCAAATGGCAACCCACAAGCTTATTAATTGTGATAGGTAAGAATCCACTTAACAAACTCGGGGTTTTATCGAGTGGGGATCAACTGGAGACATGGTGTTGAAGAAACAGCCCCATGTTCCAAAAGCTGGGCTTTTATGTTTCTTCTTCTGTAAACTGAAGTGCAGATCATGTCTCTCTAGTTGATTTGTATGATTTGTTTATCTCTTGTATTAAACAGACTAGGGATAAATCAACAAGATAAACCACAGGAGATAAAAATCATTTTTGATTGGCTGCAAATCTCATTATTTTCATCAAAAGTGAAACAATAACTCAATTTTTTATCAATTAGAGATCAAAATCTGCATGTTGTTGCTGCAGATTGCTAGGTAAGAGTAGCATTGCAAGATCACTAGGCCAATGACATAGGTTTCCATTAGTGTGTATATATATATATATATATATATATTTGTTGAAGTTCATCTACTATTGGACAAGATTTATGTCACTATTACTATACCTAGTAATGTTGTGTATTGAGACTCAATAACAAGAGATTTTTTATTTTATTTTATTTTATCATTTTGATCTATTTAGTTTAGTTTGTGGCATGTGTAGAAATTTTATAGAAGGGTTGGGTTTTTTTTTTTGAGAGTCCAAGTGGATTGTAATGTGAATGGTTACAATCTATACAAGACATGATTTTGTAAATTATGGAAATTATAAATTGATTTGGATGTCGATATTGAATATGTGGTGATTGATTTCTTTTTTTTTTTAGATTGCTCTTAGAGTGGAAATAAAATAAGGTCTAGATTTTTAAAATTGTAACTTTGTTACTACAAAATTATTATATAACAGTTGGCAACACTCATATCTACCATATTTTGATTAAAGTAATTTTTATACATTTTACTTGTTTACAACACAAATTAACTACAAAAAAATACTATATATATATATATATATATATATATATATTTATTCATACACACATATGTAAGTATTGTATATCTTAGAATAACATAAATTTATTTTTATATAGAATTTTCATATCTCTATTTTCTATGTAAATATAATAATATATTTTATATTAAAAATATTTAAAATCTAAAGACTTATCAATTTATTCTTTTTTATATTAATTTAATTTATACATACATATATATATCATTCTAAAATAAAGTTATTATTTTTATTCTTATTATTATTATCATTATTATTATTTTATGTTTTTAACATGTTGGTCATTTTTTTTAAACATTATATAAAATTCGGATTCTAAATTTTAACTAATTTTTTTAGAAATTTTGAATTTAGAAAATAATAAATAAATAAATAAAGTTATCAGTACTGTTAGTAATAGAGTTCTTTAAGTTTAAGGAGACTTGTAAGACAAGGTATATAACACAAGTTTTTCTTTTAAAAAACTATTTGAACTTAGAGGATTTATTTTATACAAAAATAAGAAATCATAAAATTGTGAGACATATTCTTGTCTTAATAAGAAAAATTATTTACAATAGTATGTATAAAATTATACATATTTTTCTTGTAATAATATGTCATTATTAATATTCAAAATAAAGCATGTTACATCTATTTTTGGCTGTAGTTAAATACAAAGAATATTAGTCTTTGCACCATAATATTTAAAAAATATATGTGAATTTTTGAAACCTATTGAAATTTAGTGCAAGAATTAATTTTTTTTTTAATCATTACATAAATTTTAAAATTCTTAGAGAATTAATGTAGAAATGCAATGTTTTTGGATTGAAATAACAACCAATTATTTTAGTATATATTTGTCTTCAAATATTTGAGTAGATTTTATAATATTTAGATAAAAACATAAAGACTGGTTCCATCTCTTTTGTAACTATAACTATAGATTATCTAACATTATATGTTTCTTCTTATATGTTTCTTATATATTTTTTAATCTAACTATAGATTTCTAATGTTATATGTTTCTTTATATAACCATTCTATTTTTATTTTATTTTTATTTTTATTTTTTTGTTTGTTTTAAAATGACTTTATTTTGACTAGTGTATATATTTTTTCATATTTACTATTGTCTTCTTATTTTTCCTATTCTACTATTTTCTACTGTTTATTTTTATTCATCACTTTTATTGCAAGTGGATCTAATTGATTTAATAGAAAATGACAATCTTTGTTTTGAAATTTCTCAAATAATCTGCTTATTTTATCTAATTAATGCTTCAAACACAAATCAAGAGAATAACAACTCAACCCAACGGCTGCAATATGCACTGAACTGTAATTATATAATTAATTTTTGTCTCTTGTAATATAAATACAAGACATATATCATGAGTGTATTAAAAAATACATATGTTTTTTAAATTTTTTTGATATACTTGGAATAAGATTTACCATATTTGTTTTATTTTGAACAAGAGAGTTGGGAAATTTGAAATCTTAAAAACCATAGTATAAAATTGATTCGTTTTTTTAAATTCATATAATATTTTATAGGATTTATTTGAATGTTTTCAATACTATTTTTTTGAAAAGGCTACTATATAGAATTATTATACTTTAAATTTTGATAAAATGTTATATTATTATCCAAAGGTGTATTAATTTTATAAAAATCTAATAATAAAATTTTAAAATATTTTAAAATAAAATATTAGGTATTTTGACACTAATAGACTATTTGCAAAAATATGTTTAAAAAATGATGTATATATATATATATATATATATATATATATATATATATATATATATATATCTTAGTATAATTACAAATAAATAACTAGTTCAACAAACATAATACAAAAACTTAGATTCATGATGTGCTTAAACTTTTGATATATTTTCCTTAATGGATAAAGAGATGGTAGATAGTTATTAAAAATTATGTCAACTTGTGATATATTTCTTTAATTAAAAATAATAGATTATCATTTTTCACATTCAAAAATTATGACTTAATCTTTAAAATAAGTTTTTGAAAGATAGTTAAAATTATTATTAAATTTTAATAAAAAAATCATCCAATATATAGGTAATTTTTTATATCTATTTTTGATTATATCCCTTGGAACAATTCTATTTTAAAAATAAAATTAATATATATAAATAAATAAATAAATAAATAAATAAATACACACACACACACATACACACCCACATATATATATATATATATATATATATATATATAAATTAAAAATTATACATATATATTTTATTAATTATTCTTACAATAAAAGTATTTACAACTTGTATATACAGCAAAACTTTAAAAATTTGTTCAGTATTATATAGTGTTACAATTATTACTATACCTTTTCTTAGAAATATTTAATTGTTAGCTTTATGTCTAATTATTAAGATTTTATCAGATCCAATAATTTTTTTTGAATCTGTCGATGAATT